CACAGTCAGTTAAGTGTCTGACTTTGGCTCAGGTCATGATCTTCCAGTTCATGAGTTTGAGTCCTGCGTCAGGCTCTGTGCTAACAGCTCAGAGTGGAGCCTGCTTTGGATTATGTGTCTTCCTCTCTCTGCCTCTCCGCTACTCATAGTTGTCTCTGTCTCTGTCTCAAAAGTAAATAAACATTAAAAAAAATTTTTTTTAATCCTCAGGCAAAAATATGCCATACTTCCTACATTTTAAAAATGCACATTTCCACATTTTAGCGTATCTGAAATTGAGATTAGCCTTAAAAGTGTTTCGTGTACTTAATCTGTTATTTCAGTGGTACATCTTACAGTTGATTGCTTCCCACAATAGAAAAATTTATGGTACATAAATGAAAACTAAATAACTTTTAAAACAGTGACTATTATAGAAAACACATAGCTTTTATTTAAAACTGATGACATAAAAAATTATACGGCCAGAGAAATAATAAAGTGTTTTATTATTTTAATCTAAAATCTAAAGTGTTTTAAAATTTTATTTTATTTATTTATTTTTTAATTTTTTTTTTAACATTTATTTACTTTTGAGATAGAGAGAGAGAGACAGAGCATGAATGGGGGAGGGTCAGAGAGAGGGAGACACAGAATCCAAAGTGTTTTAAAATTTTAATCTAAAATCTTTAATGTTGGAAAATCAAATAAGAATCTCAGTGAGAAGATTGTAATAAGATGTATATCTTTAAAAAAAGATCGAAACTGATATAAACCTGTATAATGAGTTTTGCAAAAGGATTTGTTATATTAACTCATACTGCCATGGAAAATGTAAGTAATTTGTGTAAACCAAATTAAGCAATTTCCTACACCAGCCAAGGATTCCATTACTAGTCATTGATCTGACATTTAAATAGTAGGCTAAAGAACCAGTGTCATTGTGAAATGGAATAGTCTACAAGTAAACTTCAATATTGTGTTCTTAATGCCTTTAGTAGATCATGAAAAGAGTTTAGAAAACCAGAAATGCCCTTATCTTATTTTGTAGAAAATGAGAGCCAACGTAACGGATTTGATTTTAGGTAAAGTTTCACCGTCTAGACTTAAAATACTAGTTTAATGGAAACTCTGAATCTTTATCTACACTTATGGTCAATTCTAAGAAAAATAGCAGTAGGCTGATTCAGTTTTGTGTGGCCTCTTATCTCCTCCACGTATACTGTCCAAGCTTGCTTGTTTTTCTAGAAAGAATATGTATTAAAAGGAACGCATTTTTCACAATTGAGAAAGCATCCTGACTTTTGGAGGGCTGATATCTAACCTTGGGAAAGCTGCTCTGTGAAACTGCTTATCTGTAAGGTACAGGCAAAGATAACCTTCTAGCTTTGTTTTAATAAATAAATGTTACAGAAATGTTATCCTTTTCATGTCAGACATGCAATAAATGTTAGTATTTACCTATCTGGGTGCTATGAAATTACAGACTGAATTTTTTTATATTTCATGTAGTTATTTTGCCTTCAAATAAACAGGATCAGGCTTGATCAAATCAGTACAGGAAAATAATATTTTTCTGCTATATAAACTATTTTTGCTACATTGTCACAGTGCACAGAAAAGATAAATGTAATTTATTATGTTGTAGAAAAATATCTAGAATTTCTGTAGATAACCTTTAGAAATGCAAGAATTTGTGCAGAAATTTGCTTTTCTTTTTATTTTTCCTAGATATTTCCTATAGTTTCAAACTAAAATTTCACCTGAGCTTAATCCAAGATGTATCAAAACAATGACCAGTAAAAAGATTTATAATTAACTTATCATGTATAATGAAGTTTATTTCTATATGGTCACTTCCAACATAAATACCTCAGTCTTTTCCATCACACCTTTCAAATTAATTTTTTTACTGTTGGTGAATTCTATAAACAGGAGTCATGAAATGGGTAATCAATGAATTTCCAGACAATATAAGCCAAAGAAATATACGGGAGAAGGAAAGAGAAAGAAGAAAGAAGGAAGGGAAAGAAGGTGGAAAACAAGTGAGGGGCAGAGAGAAGATGAGGGAGAGGGAGAGAGAGAGAGAGAGAGAGAGGTTGAGAGAAAGAGAGAAAGGTGGGGAATAAGTAGAGTAAAAAGCCATTGTTCAGCATTGAGTATCTGCTATGAAAGTTTTACTCAGTTATCTTTCAGAAGCAACTATTTTTCTGTCTGATATTTGGTAAGGACTGTTTTAAATTTAAGGCAATTACAGCAAGAACATAAGAATTTCTGCAGTTTGCCTCCAACACCCAGACCTTTTAGCAGATCTCTAGTCAAGAAGCATCTCCTCAGAGAGGCCTCCGAACATCTCACTGAACAATGGCAACCGCACTGCTCTCTATTTAACTCCTTCTTGTGTCTGCTTCTCTATATAGCACAGAGCACTACCTGAAAGAATTATGTGTGATTTTGTGTTCTGCCTCCTGTTCTAGAAAATCTAGGGATACCGAGTTTTGCTATTCACTTTTCCACTATATTCCAATACCTAGAACAGTGCTAGATAAATAGTAGGGACTCCGTACAACCCTGGTGAATGAGTACAAGAAAGTGACTGCAGCACAGTCCAGGGAAGAGGAAAACAGAGGGAGACGAAGAGCATCTAGGCTGAGAAGAGTCAAGACGCAGCAAAGCTGCAGTCATTCCAGAAGCAAAACAAAATCCACCATTGTATTGAAACAGAGGTTTTACCAATTTCTAGAGAGGAAGAATTATAAATTTATATCAGGAACCCCTCTATGTAGTTTTTAATGTAGTTTTCTATTTGTTTTTATGCTTAAACCACTACGGTAATCAATGTACAGTTCTTCATCTACAAAATGGATCAACCATTTTTGATGGATGTCTTCTGTTGTATTTACAAAGGCATGTATTAAATCATTCTTTCAGACATTGCTTTAAATGCATGTTTGAACTTGACCATAACTTAACAACTGTAGTCATGCCACTGGTGCCCAGAGAAGACAAACCTTTAAAACATGGTACATTAGCAATACCTTCAGAGTGCAAACCAACACACAGATTGTTTTGCCAGTCGGTTGTGAACTTTGACTTGGTGGGACACAGAAAAGGAGTCATTGCCATGCCTTTTCCTTCATAAACCTCAAGTTGCAATTGAAACTGTTACCAGAACCTGGGGCGCCTGGGTGGCGCAGTCGGTTAAGCGTCCGACTTCAGCCAGGTCACGATCTCGCGGTCCGTGAGTTCCAGCCCCGCGTCAGGCTCTGGGCTGATGGCTCAGAGCCTGGAGCCTGTTTCCGATTCTGTGTCTCCCTCTCTCTCTGCCCCTCCCCCGTTCATGCTCTGTCTCTCTCTGTCCCAAAAATAAATAAATGTTGAAAAAAAATTAAAAAAAAAAAAAAAAAAAGAAACTGTTACCAGAACCTTCTTCAAGAGGCTCAGAAAACAAAACAAAGGAGAAGAGAAACATGGCTTTATATGGTTGATCTTTCTTAAGTTCTTACTATGGCCTGAGCATGGATTTACATCCTCAAAATAATCATATATAATTCTCATTAACAATGAGGCTATAAGTTTAGAAATGTAAATGCTCACCCAAGTTCACACACACAGAATGATGAATCTGGGGTTTAAACCCAAACACCATCAAAAGATCAGTGACGAAACCCACTCTTCACAATGTTCCTATCCGGTGTACACACAATTCATTTAAAATATTCCACAATGATCTTTAGAACCTTAACAGAAGTCCATGGGTGAAGAAGGGAAGGGGAAACAAAATAGTTACAAACAGAGAAGGAGGGAGGCAAACCACAAGAGACTCTTAAACACAAAGAACAAACTGAGGGTGGATGGGGAGTGGGGGAGAGGGAAAACAGGTGATGGGCATCGAGTAGGGCACTTTTTGGGCTGAGCACTGGGTGTTGGATGTAAGCCAATTTGACAATAAATTATAATAAAAAATATTCCATAATGAATTCTGCAATAGTGATCATCTCTAGTGCATAGTTCTCTTTCTTGTTTGAATTGGATGCTTTTGTTTCTTCAAAGAGTTCATCTACTCCCACAGAACACTGGACATATTTTTAAAGGTCAAAACTAAATTCGAAATACGATTCATTGTAAATAAGTTCGTTGTAGAACCTGGCACTAAAATGAGTTATATAAGTCTATTTCTCCTATAGTTTGTACAGAGACCCAATTAATGTTGTTTCACTGAATAAGAAGTTACTGCAAAAGAGAATTCAAAAGGCTGTTTGCCTACCTGCAGGTTGTAAGTATGTTTTACATTCTCCAGCATGAGCACAATTTTAAGCAACACTAAACAGGTTCTTTCCCAGCAGAAGCTTCTATTTTCTCAAAATAATAACAGCATTGATTAATTGACGACTCTTTTTTTTAAATCACTTATATTAACAAGACCTATAAATATATCCCCATAAAATGCCATCTATTTCTCTGTATTCTCAAAAATACATTTTTAGAGGCTAGTAGAGAAAATGTTCTTCATACTGGGAAGGTTCCCAGCCCTTTGTTGATATGATACAGTGAAAAGACCACTAAACCAAACAATAACATTTTAAAAAATAAGGAAAAAAATATTGTCTCTGACATCAAATAGAAGTCTGCAGTAATTAGTCTATGCCTCAATTTCCCCCTTTTGTAAAGAGGATAAAACACTGGTGTCACTTTTTTTTCATCTGAATTCCACCCTCTCCCCAGTTCCTCCACTTCTACTTAGAAAATTATAACCAATAAAGTCCAACTGAAATGCTCCCTTTCGTTTCTGTAACATTCATTCAACCTCACCTCTGCCCTTTCAACTGGATTACAATGGCATTATACGTACCTCTCTCTTAAAATATAATATTACACGATAGAATAGAATATAGTATAAAAGATTTTTTTCACATTTATTCCTTGATAGATATAAGCTCCTTGAGGAAAGCAAAACAAACAAACAAACAAAACCCACCATAGAACATATAACTTTAATATCCCTTCACAGTCCCTAACTTTAAGTATTAAAAAAAAAGTACTTATACTAGTTATACTTCTGGAAGTATTAATAGTGATAGTAATAGATGCTGGGTACTAAGGAGGGCACTTGTGTTGAGCACTGGGTGTTACGTGTAAATGATGAATCAATAAATTCTACACTAATACACTAGATGTTAGCTAACTAGAATTTAAGTAAAAACTTGAAACAAACAAAAAAATAATTTTAAAAGTACATCATATTACCATCCTTTTCCTTTCTATGGCAGGGATTTGATTCCTCCCAGAGAGAGGAATGTTAGTGGCTCTCAATAGGTCAGTGACGATACATTACAGCCTCATACAAGTTATGTTTGTTTGTTTTTTAATACCAATGCCAGGTCTCAGAGCAGGACTGTCAAATTAAGGTCATTTCTTTTTTCTTCCTCCCTCCCACCCACCCTTCCTTCCTTTCATTTCTTCCTTCCTTCCTTTTCCCCCTCCCTTTCTTTTTCTTTCTCTTTCTTTCTTCTTTTCTTTTCTTCCTTTCTCTCTCTCTCTCTCTCTTTTTTTCTTTTAATGGCAGTGGGTAGGAGGGCAGTCTCTAATGTTTACAGGACTGAAGACCATTGTTATACAGGACCCATTCACTGACCTGGGTTTGAAGAAGGGCTGGAGCAGAGAGGATGCAGCACAGGTAGATGGTGACAGGTGGTTTCACTGTTGGGCTAGTTAACTGGGCATAATGCTTCTGAAAACAAAAAGGATAATTTTAAATTTTAAATTATTGTTCCATAATTCGTATACCTTTATCTAGGCTTTTAAGAGGATGGAATCAGACTGTCAGTGCTCCCAACTTTTGTTGTGCAAGTTCATCCAGTTCATGCTCAGTTGAGCTGTTCTTCACTAACACACACTTCAATGAGATGTTTTCTCTTTTCACTAGCAATTCCAATAAATGTTTTCTTATAATTGGCAGATTTTTACAAAAAAAAATTAATAAACCAAAAAGTTACTCCCAAAACAAACATTTTAAAATTATTTTATTTGTGGTTTCATATGGTGAACAGGAGTCCTCCCTTCCTCTGCCCTCTGTGCCTTTTGAAATTTGGATATAACCTTTTTCCAACAACAATAAAAAGAAAACATGTTTTCCCTTAATTGTGTCACCCAATCCTTCAGCCATGGTATTGAATGAATTAAGTCCGAGGAAGGCAAACTTTCCTGTTTCATTTTGGTATAAATTATATATATATATATAAATATATATAATATAATATAATATAATATAATATAATATAATATAATATATATATAATTATATATTTATATAATTATATTATATTTATATATATTTATATAATTATATTTATAATTATAATTATAATTTATAATTATAATATATAATATATATATAATATAATATAATATATAATTTTTAATTTATAAATTTTAATTAATAAATTTTCATCCTGAGGATGAAATTTAATTAAAAATTAAATTTCATCCTCAGGATGAAAATATTTCTCAGGATGAAAATATTTCTCAAAGATATACTAACCATAAAACCACTTAATTATGGAATTGAAAATAAGTAGTTTCTGTGAATGTAATTACAAAATTATTCAAAGGTTTAAAAATATTGTAAGAGAAGACATAAATTGCAAAACCCAATAATTTAATAAAAAATTTATTTCACATGTGAGATTACACTAAGAAAAACAGGAAAAAACAGATGAGAAATACAAAAATGATAACATTTTCCAATAATGAATAAAATAAGAATCAGGTAAGAAGTGAAAGATTAGTATGATACCTTGTCCAAACACTTATGATTAATAAAAAAGAGAAACAAAATGAATGTAATTCTTCTACATTGCTATTGGAAAAAAGAGCAAGAATGAAAAAACTTAGGTTATAAAAATAAAGATACAGGGGCACCTGGGTGGCTCAGTCAATTAAGCATCCAACTTCGGCTCAGGTCATGATCTCACAGTTCAGGGGTTTGAACCCCACATCGCGCTCTGTGCTGACAGCTTGGAGCCTGGAGCCTGCTTCGGATTCTGCGTCTCCCTCTCTCTCTCTCTCTTCCTCCCCTGCTCTCACTCTATCTCAAAAATAAATAAAGATTTTTTTTAAAATTTAAGAATAAATAAGTAAAGATACAAAACACAGGGAACAACAAAAGAGTGTAAGAATCATGAATAAATTGAAATAAGTAAAAACTGATAAATCTGTTACCATATTATATGCAAATGTTTTAATTCCTCTATCAAAGAACAAAGACTCTTAGATTGGGTTAAAAAAAATAAGTCTAACCATTTGTTTCTTTTTAATGTTTATTTATTTTTGAGAGAGACAGAGACAGAATGTGAGTGGGTTAAGGGCAGAGAGAGAGGCAGACACAGAATCCCAAGCAGGCTCCAGGCTCTGAGCTGTCAGCACAGAGCCAGACGCAGGGCTTGAACACATGAGCTGTGAGATCATGACCTGAACTGAAGTCAGACACTCAACTGACTGAGCCACTCAGGCGCCCCTAACCATATGTTTTTTAAAACAGACATGTCTAAATAAATTATTTGAAAATTTTTAAAGTAAAAAAATGTGAAAATATATATGTAGAAAATATACAATAAAATAGGAATCTCAAGGGGTATAGTTGGTAAAGTGGGATTCAAGGGAAATAAACAAGGATGAGATTTTTAAATATTATTTTATATGAAACCTCTAGTATGTCTATAACAGTTATCAACCTTTATGAATAATACAGCATTAAATTGAACAAAAAGATTCATAAATATAAGAAATATCTTATATCTTATGTATTTATCTTATATCTTTCTTCTTTCTAAGAAAGTAACAGTACACAAACAAGTAGGTGAAAATAAATTAGAATATAAAGGACTAATTATGTGGAAATTAAAATTTCAAAAATAAGAAAATCATACACAAAGAGCTTTTGGAGAAAAAAGGAAATGATGCTGTAATTATACAACGTTTAGAAAAAAAAACCTTTATGTGAAAATATAGAATGTAGAGTCAAATTTTCTCAAAAACAAACTCATGGCCTTAAATGCTTTTATTATTAGAAATGTTAGGAGCTAGGGGCGCCTGGGTGGCGCAGTCGGTTAAGCGTCCGACTTCAGCCAGGTCACGATCTCGCGGTCCGTGAGTTCGAGCCCCGCGTCGGGCTCTGGGCTGATGGCTCGGAGCCTGGAGCCTGTTTCCGATTCTGTGTCTCCCTCTCTCTCTGCCCCTCCCCCATTCATGCTCTGTCTCTCTCTGTCCCAAAAATAAATAAACGTTGAAAAAAAAAATTAAAAAAAAAAAAAAGAAATGTTAGAAGCTAGATAATTAAAATATAAGACAGAAAATGTAAGAAAGGGAAGAAGGAATGTATAAAGATAACTGAATAAATGAATTAAAAACAAAACAGTAATATATAAAAATTTGAGAATACCGAATTTTGAATAAAAATAAGTTTATAATAACATGTATAAACTTAAATTAGTGTAATTGAAAAAAGAGAAAAATAAGATAACAGGACTAAAAAAAGGCATAAAATACAGATACAGGGAGTTTACAGTTATTATAAAGTACCACATATACTCTATCATAAATATGCATGATTTCACACATAATCACAAAAATTTAAATTTAAAATATTTTCTTCTACAGTAATTTTAGTAGCCATGCTAAATTTGGTGGTTGTTGTTGTTTTTAGAGAGTGCAAGTGGGGGAAATGGCCAGAGGGAAAGATAGAATCTTAAGCAGGCTCCACACTCAGCACAGAACCCAATGCTGGGTTGATACAACAACCCTGGGATAATGACCTGAGCCGAAATCAAGAGTCAGATACTCGGGTTACCTGCGTGGCTCAGTTGGTTATGATCTCGCAGTTTATGAGTTCGAACCCTGCATTGGGTTCTGTGCTGGCAGCTCAGAGCCTGGAGCTTGCTTTGGATTCTGTGTGTGTGTCTCTCTCTGCCCCCCATCTGCTCACACTCTCTCTCTCTCTCAAAATAACTTTAAAAAACATTAAAAAAAAGTCAGATAAACCTCCCGATGCCCCCATGCTAACACTTATTGTAACAATATAAGTAATCATAATAATAAATCAGACAGAGAGAGAGATTCTATTCCTATTAAGTAGAAATATTTAATATATCCTTGAGTAAGTATTTTACAGGAGAAGAAGGAAATAGAAAGACATAAAAATACTATCTGTACATTGCCTTCTTTCCCTTAAAGAAAGACTCATAACAATTTTACTTTTCTCAAATAAATTCAAAGCTAAATAAAATTTTAAATAAAACTTCATAAAGCCTGGAAATGGAAATAGAATATGTTTCTCATTTAAAAACCGAATATAACCTTTGAAATAATTTATAATACTATTTCTATTTCCAATCATAGACATGACTGACTTTTTCAGGGCTTACCGCTCAGGTCACAAAACCATGCTATGAAATACAGTGAGTACAATGTATCACACACTCAGGTGCATATTCAGCCATGAGTAGATCTAGACTCTGGGAACTTTGTATTTAGTATTTTCTCACCAGACAGCCAAGACTGCAATAATAAATTGAGGGAAAATATCTGGTCATTAAGAAAACAGACTTTAAAATACACTATAGCATAGGTTTCAAGATTGGTTCTGATTCCCTAATGAATTCATTAGCCATTTAAATGCACTGTTTTCTAAACCTCTTTCAAATGTCTGATTTCAAGTTTTAATTTCTAAATGTTAACTCCATGAATGGGTAGATATTAAACATTTAAAGCAGATATCCAGGGATTCTCCATCCATCCCATGCTTTCCATCTACGAGGCATTTTGGATTCCTCAAAGTTCCATAAGTAATATATAATATGTGACGAAGGTATACAGATGCCAAACCTCTGTCTGCAGAGACAACTTTTTCAGGAGATGGAAACAGAAACAGAGCTTGTTAAAAGGTTTCCAGGCCTGGGAGTCCAAAAAGTTGGGCTGAAATGTGACCTCTGAAGCACTAAAACCGCTGGTGATATTTAAAAGCAAAATGTGGGCTTTAAATAACATTTCACATGCTGACTATAGAAAACGGAAACAACTTCTGGGTGTCCAGGCAGGACATCTAGAAGTCTTTAACTAATGGTAAATCACAAATCTAGTCAAACATGGGGCCAAGAATAAAAATACAGTGACACTGCATTGTTAGGAGGGAAAGTGAGTTTTCTTAAGTCTTTGATCTCCTTGAAGTTTGTTTATTTTCTTGAGTTTTAGAAGCATGCACACCATAGGCATAGCATATTATTCAGGCTTTTTTTCCTGCAAAGTAAGGTCTTTTCATGTTTCAAATATACAAATCAGAGCATTCTTAAAAAGGAACAGCCTTTTAAACCTCATGCTCCAAATAGGTGTAGTTTGTTGAAGCATAGACATAAAGAATTGTCAGATATTAGTGTGGTATCTTCAGGGCTCCTCTTTTCTACACAGCCTGACTTCAGCCCACCTCCCTCATTATTCTGCCCAGCTTGTGTAGACGGAGTTTCACAGCTGTAGTGAATTTAATTATGTTGCCAGAAGCCATGGTGTTCCCGTTCTGCTCCTCCTCTTCTCTGTTAAATTCTATTTGTACTTAAAGATATAGAAAATCCCAGCTGGAAACAGCCTTCAAATTGTCCCTAGGATGTTTTGTCACTAATTGTCCCTACGTGCTACCAGAACAAATAAATAATTGGGAGAAAAATCAAATAAGTTTGTTAA